CGAGCATAGCCCTCGTGCTATGTAAAGTCGGCCAAAAAGACCACACACATCGCGTCCAAATAGACACGTCAATGAAATTACCGGGAAACAAGCATCCTTCGGTGTTATCCTTGTTTATCGAATCGTATGTTTCCTGCGATTGTTATGTGACAGTAGAAAGGATTAGGTTCCGTTCACCGGAGACCGTTCTGGAACGCTTGAAGCGTTGTCAGTAATGTATAATGTAAAGATGTTTGTTTCAGCTAATTATTAGTTGTCTTGTCAAAATAAATCAGCAACGAAATAGGTACTTAGAAGTAGGCTTCATAGCTCCTTTTAATATTATTCCATAAAACTACACAATTATTGATTTTCCAAAAAACTGAATATCTGGATAACCGTCTAATATACCGTTAAAAGGTTCAAGGTCTGTAATAAACGCTGAAAACTCGATTCAGTCATAGTCCTGTGATTGGTCTAAATATTTAAGTTAAACCAAACAAAAGCCTCAATCTATGCTTCATTTTTAGCCGATTTCAAAAAGAAGGTTCTCAATTCTGTTGGTATGTTTTGTAATAGGCACCACTCCTAGTTTATACCGTACACTGCAGGCCAAAACTTCTGGAACGCGTGGAGCGTATCGAATGAAGCGTAAGCGCACATCCACAAGGCGCGGCCATCGGGCTCTGACAAAGGAATGGTGATTCAAAGTATTTTGGGGTTAAACCTAATTGTGAGAGGTCAACAATACTGCACACAACACTCAATTTACATGCCAAGTTTTAAATAGATACATAACATTAAGAAACAATCTATGTACCTTTAGCTGATTTAATAGTACCTGAAAAACAGTCGCGAAAATCCTAAAAATTCGGAATTCAAAACTGTGTTTTAAAAACAAAAATGTGAAATCCAGCAAGGCTGAAAATAAAATTTAAAAAACGTGTAGAGACGAAAACCACCGAGAAAAGTTTTAGTCAGCGTAACACCATGATATACTTGTATATTTTTATACCTTTCGTGTCAAGTGGGTATTCGGTATTCTCCCAAACTTTATACACAGTATCGAATGCATCCATCCTTATCACGCAAAGCAAGACGGCAGCGTGAGAGACAGTGACAGGCAGACCGGAAAATACGTAAACTGCGTTAGGGAATAACACCGAAGTGGTTTCGTGTCCAAGCGCCGTCACTTCGGTGTTTTTATCGAACTAGAGCCATTTTCACGGTCTGTAGAGTAAATGCCCGTTGGGTTCGTTCCGAAAAGAGTTTTTAGTATTTCAGATCGATCTTCTTCTTCTTTTCGTGTCGACAACAAACCTACACAGTGCCAGCCCAAAACTCCGCCACAAGAGTGGCGTTGTCAGCAGCATTCATCAAATCCTCCTGAGTGCAGTGCAGTTCAGATCGATTTTCTGCCAGGATATCGAATCATTTCTATTACACATTTTTTCAATTTAAACTGACGAACAAACGAAGAAAAAATGCTATAGGTATCATACCATAGAGCAAGACCTAATATAATGAAAATAATATTAAAGTAACGTAGGCGTAACTGGACAAATAGAAGTCCCACATTTTGATCAAGTCAATTTTCATTTTCATTTCAACGAAATTGAATGATATCCCCAACTCGAGAGAGCCCAAACCCTAACCACTGAACCATAATCATCAGTAAAAAGTTATTTTGGTTAATGATAAAGCTGAAACACAAATATTCCAGCTCCGACTCGTTATTTTAATATAAAAGTTTCCTCAGCTAAATTAACGTGTATACTAAAGTATTCTAATACTGAGACAACTACTCAGGTAACTTCGTACACTTGATTAAATTTCTTACAAACTAATTGTTTGGATGCTGTTAAGTAACAAGTTAATCCTGGCTCGTTTATTATTGTAGATGGATTCAATTAATTAACTTTACAAAATGAAATAGATAACTAATTGCCGGGTATCCGACCCGTGTATAACTATTTGGGAAATCGAACTCGAACTAGGCATTTTAAATATTCTGTAAGATTTATTTATATTTTTTTATTATATTTAAATAGACTTCGGACGCAGGTTGGCCATAGTAAGGACAATCTGGTCAGGTGGGGATTCTTGGATGGCTTAAACATTAAGTGCAGGTGCGATTTTGTTCCCCAGTCGATGAGGCACAATGTCGTGTCGTGCCCTGAGTGCCCAAGCAACTGCACTCAGAAGGATTTGATGAGTGCCACTGACAACGCCACTCTTGTGGCGGAGTTTTGGGCTGACACTGTGTAGGTTTGTTGTCGACACGAAAAGAAGAAGATTATATTATTTACTTATCTGACCCTATCTAAACGTTCATATTCCTTTATTCCTTTTTGCTGACCATACAATATCCACATGTCATAGCTCAAAGCTTGCATGGCTGCCCACTACATAAGCGACACCATCATTCGCTGCTTAGCTCTGTAATTTTCCTGTGAATTACCCAAGAAGCAAGGGACCGTAAAATAAGCCCATAAAACATAGAATCTAAACCAACTATTTACCTAAAATAATATTGTAGAATCTACGCTTACAGAATATGTTATTTATAGATATCTCCAAGGCTGTATTTTTATATCAAAATAACTTATTTTCCCTTTCAATTCCGATGTTTTGAAGTAAAGCGGCTTAGGCATGCTAAACATCCATTCCCAGTCCAATTACTTCAATCTCAAGCCTCTTATTCAGTATTGCCAATCGTAAAAATTTTAGCTTTGGACTTACGAACCTTCCATGTCTTCAGGCTGTTTTTAATAATAAATATCATCTATTGGTTAATTAAAACAAGCAAAAAATGGGCACATACATTTACAAAATGGGCATACTCGTACAATACTCATAATGAGAGAGATAAAGAATTAAAATATATTTATCTCTCCATACCAGTTGTTCTCAATTTTAAATAATTATAACAATATCAAAATCTGTCACTAAAATTCCTACTAATGCTAGGTAACCTCTTTGTATGTTATTTTTCCATGTTTTAGTTATTGTTCAAAAGAAATGGCAACACTTCACAGCGTCGCTAATGCCGTCAGTCTTGTTCAACGCGCTTCGTCCCTTACAATTTTCCCCCGAATTACCCCGCTCTTGTGAAGTGACAGAGCCAAACGAGCGCGCCTCATTCCTCTTTCAAATGCAGGGTGCTCATCTCCAAGATATTACCCTGAAATATGGGAATATTCAACTTGAGTGGGTAAATAGGTTGTTAGCGAACGGATGTTTCATTACGGACCGCCTCAATAGAGCTTAGAAAGCTCGTGAATACGAATACGTTTAATTAAATCTATGAAACGAATATTGAATAACTAATGAAAACAGATTTATACACTGAATAGAGTCAAAATTATTTGAACATTCAATCAAATTACTTTACTTTATAATAATAGAGAGGTCGCGGGAAGAGCCTGGATGCGGGCAGCGCAGGGACCGTGCATTGTGGAAAACCTTGGAGGAGGCCTTTGTCCAGCAGTGGACGTCATTTGGCTGAAACGAACGATAATAATAGAGAGCGATATTTTGGTGTTATTATTTGACTGTATTTGTTTGTAGGCCAATTTATTCAGCGCGGACTCTCCAAACAATTTCAATTTTTCATTCAAGTTTTATCTCAATGTCATTTTGTACAAACACATCACGTCATGTTACACGTTTACAACAGTCACTCAAACATCAGTCAAATACTGAATGAATTTTAGTATAAAACTGGCATGATCACGTATTAATTATTATTTAATAACAAATTAAGTGATAAATTGTTTAGTCAGCGCATAGTTAAGTGCTCGCTCGTGTTTTTCCTTCGTTAAAAGAGCTTTGTTAATTTTAAATGTTTGAATTGGTATTTATTAACGTTTACTAAAATTATCTTCATGATCATAAAAAGGTTTACTGACGTAATTACAAATAGGTAAGACAATTAGTGCAGGAAAAATTATGTACCGAGATGTGTCAGTGAAATCATTCCAAAATTTTAAGCAATTCGATAAACCTTTTCCGTTGAAATTTCCAATGCCCTATTTCTGTAATAATATTAATAAATAGTTTCCAACGAAAATTCGCCGAATATAAATAGAGCCTTTGTTTTATGTTTCGTGCTTCCTGAAACTGAATGGCACAATGGTTTCCGGGAATTCCATTTTATTCCCAGAATCAATAGTGCGCAATTGAATCAACTGAAATAAGAGAGGAAGGGTGGGACCTCTGACCTTTTTATAGGCTGGTGGGCTTTAGTGGGATATTTTTTGTAATTTTATTTCGGGACTAACTGAAAATGTGTAATATTGACAATTGACGCTCTAAATGAAATAAGGATGACAATTATGGCTATGGTTATATTTTTTAGGCAATTGGTCTGCACAGATTATAACTTGTATAGGTCAGACTATTTAATGAGGCAGAATTAGGTAAATCAACCTGATTGTCCAAGAAGTGACGTGCTTGAAAGATCATGTTCCAGATGCCTATGACGGCTCTAAGGGTGACATCACGGTTATGTACGTAACTCATTTGCTACCAACACAATAAAAGAAGTTTATTGGCGTATATAACATTGATCTGACATTGACATAATAATACCCCATTCGTGGAATCCTAGACTGCATTACTGTTGCGGCACTAAACACTATGCGGTTTATGGGAAAGTTTAAGCAGCCTGATTCGAGAAAACGAAGAACTGATAATTTATTTGACCTTAAAAAGAATTAGCCAGATTTAGCATAGCTCATTTTTAATCGACAAAAGGAGGAGGTTTTTAATTCGGTTGTTTTTTTTTCTATGTATGTACACCGCTTACGCCAAGATTTCTAAACCGATTTACCGACATATAGGACAATTAAATTAACATAATTTTTACAAGAGTGAGTCTGACTGGTCCTACCAGTGACAGGTAATTTTTAACTGACTCCAAAAAAGTTCCAAAAACTAACAATTTATTTAGTTTGTTAAACGTATTAAGCATTAAAATTCGTAAATGACTAATCGTAGTTTAATCATTATTGTTCCAGGTCGGCTCTACAACGGTCGCCACAACGCTGCCGTCATGACACTGCACTGGTGGATGCACTGGTTCTGGGTCACATCGCTGCTCATGTTGCTCGGTAAGTAAACAAAGTATTTTAGTCAATAACTTTGCTGGTCCAATCATCATCATCATCTCAGCCATAGGACGTCCACTGCTGAATATAGACCTCCCCCAATGCTTCCCATGTTGCCCGGTTGGTAGCGGCCTGCGTCTAGCGCCTTCCTGCTACCTTTATGATGTCGTCGGTCCACCTTGTGGGTGGACGTCCCACGCTGCGTTTTCCGCTGGTGCAATGTCTCGGGATAAACTTGGCCTTCATTGGTTGGGTTCTAAGCTGTAAATTCTGGTTAAACTGGAGTTTTCATATAATTCCACTAAGGTCCAGTGTTTTTATCCATGATCAAAATATAAACTAATATTAAAAATTGTACTATAAGTCAAGGTAACCATCGTTCCAAAACGCATTTTGCTGATATAACTAATAATTGTCATTATATGTATTTGGCATTGACAATTGGTTATTTTGACTACGGATCAAAAAGCTGCGCCTAAGACCTCGTCAAAAGAAGAGTGAACCTACTGAGTGAGGTTATACTAGACGTCTATTGTTATAGGACAAATGTGCAAGTAATTAACATCACATTACACTGTTTGTTGACATAGTCAACGCGTTTCCTCGAACACCCTGTATCAATTGTTTTCCTTAAGCTAGAACAGAAGAACAACAAACAATTTTGGTTACTAGCTGGAAACGCGACTTCGTACGCGTAAAAGAAAATAGTTTGAATAATATTCCCGTTTTTTGAAACATTTTTCTTTACTGCTCCGCCCTTATTGGTTGTAGGGTGAAGTAGCCTAAAGCCTAAAGGTGACGTTATGTAGCCTAAAGCCTAAAGGTGACGTTATGTAGCCTAAAGCCTAAAGGTGACGTTATGTAGCCTAAAGCCTTCCTCGATAAATGGGCTCTCTAACTCAAAAAGAGTTTTTCAAATCGGACGTACCTAGTTCCTGAGATTAACGCGTTCAAGCAAACAAACTCTAGATTTATAATTATTAGACGATGTCCACTAGACCGTCAAGGTGTTAAAATGAGGTTAATAATATTAATTAGTAATTTTTTTTTATGATTTTAACGAAGCGCCTCGATATAGTTGCGGGCGAGAATAATTTTTTTATGAATATCAATAACTAGCTGGAAAAAACAATTTCATATTTACTTGAGATTGTTTCAATGAAGTTCACAATTAATCATCTAAATGGTTTTATTTAACGCTAATAAACCAATAAAATAGACAACATAGCCCCGTGAGATTTTTTTGTCACAGAAAAACTAGGTCGCACTTGTTCCTGTTTCAAAAACCGGGACGAAATCTATTGTATGTCCTTTCCCGGGACTCAAAATTATCTCTTTATCAAATTTCATCAAAATCGGTTCAGTGGCTTAGACGTGAAAGCGTAACAGATAACAGACAGAGTAACTATCGCATAATAATTAGTGGGAATAAAGTGTTCGTGTAAGCATTAACTAACCTAAATAACTTTGACAGTGCCTTACTTTCATATTGTATAGTACATTTCCTTGAATATAATACAGCGTGAGACGTCCACCCACAAGGTGAACCGACGACCTGATAAAGGTAGCAGGAAGGCGTTGGATGCAGGCTGCTACCAACCGTGCGATGTGGAGTGGAAGTCATTGGGGGAGGCCTATGTTCAGCAGTGGACATCCTGTGGCTGAAATAATGATGCTGAATACTGTATTGTATAATAAATAATGTAATGTAGTACGAGTATAGATGTAACACATTCCAGAGCACACAGCTATTTCATCAAAACAGTAAATCTTCGCTCACGAAGTCCTACACATGTAAATATGTATGTTTTATCGTTTCTATGTAGGTATGTACTGTAAATATAGTCAGCTGTATCTTTGTTCTAATAAGACACTAACATCTGACTTATCTTGACTCACGTTGTATCATTTACTTACACTACAAACAACACAACAAACTAGGTAGGTGTTTGAGGTTTTTACTTACACGACAAACTAGGTAGGTGTTTGAGGTTTGTTAAAAGTACAAATACTCTACTTTTATGGTTGTCTGTCACTTTATAATCGAGAATCGAATCGTCCTCCTCTACTAAACTAAGTTTATTAACTTGATAATAAGATCGTTGGATAGGAGATTCGTCTTACATACTAATCTATACTATCTATACTAATATTATAAAGCTGAAGAGTTTGTTTGTTTGTTTACTTGAACGCGCTAATCTCCGGAACTACTGGTCCGATTTGAAAAATTCTTTCAGTGTTAGATAGCTCATTTATCGAGGAAGGTTATAGGCATACAACATCACGTTACGATCAATAGGAGCAAAGCAACAATGAAAAATGTTGCGAAAACGGGTTTCCACGCGTACCAAGTCGCGGGCACAGCTAGTTTAACTTTATAAAGTAACATTACAACTTGTTCCAATTAAGTTCTTATTTTCAGTGTTTCATTCCGAACTTTCATAACTGTTTCAGTATCCGTATCTACTGAATAATGTACGTTACTTTCCGAATATATCAATAGAAACCCTTGGGAGAAACATCTAAAGTTCAATCGAAAGATAAAAAATGTTGATCTCTTATCTTTTATCCTACGAATCTTAGATCCCAAAGGATCGGAAACCTTTCAATATAATATCTTTGATAAATGTTCACGATACCGTGGATCTCGTTAGATATAATTTCACATTAATTTGACATTCGAATTTATTATGTGTTTGAATTTTTAGACTAGGCGCAGACCACCAACTTTTAGTTGGCCGATATTTGGGCCCGATTCTAATTTGCCGATAGCAAATCGGTGTAGTGTACTTTCATACATCTCCATACTGATTAACAGCCCGACTCCACTATCGGGCAACAAAAATCGGTGGTCTGCGCCTAAGCTAAGCCGACGTTAAGAATGACTAGCTTTTGCCCGCGGCTTCACCCGCGTGAAATTTAGTTTGGCACAGATCGTCATAAATTATAGCCTACTAGCTGACCCGGCGAACTTTGTTCCGCCTTAATGGCAATAAATAAGCAGACTTTTTTTTTATTTCGAACGGGCTAAAAAGTATCCTATGTCCTTCTCCTGGCTCTAAACTACCTCCCTGACAATTTTCAGCTAAATCGGTTCAGCCGTTCTTGAGTTATAAGTGGAGTAACTAACATGACTTTCTTTTATATATATAGATATGTTATTCTGGGTTATAAACTATAATACTGTAAAGTTTGATCAAAATCCGTTCAGTAGTTTTTGCGTGAAATAGTAACAAACATCGAGACATCCAGATATCCACTCAAACTTTCGCATTTATAATATTAGTAAGATAGTAAGAAAGTAGGATATAATATTAGTAGGATGATATTATGGATATTGTTTGTTCACACACAACTTAATCTATCAACTATTTTTTAAAATTATTATACCTATCTGATTAAGTATAATTCTTGCTCTTTGAACGGGTCGTATTGTTGATAGTCATAAATAAAATCAAATGAAACTCTCACGTCAATTTATATTTTAAACATCCATGATATCAAGGGCTTCATGCAATTAGGGTATAATTTCTCAGAATTTCAAATTATTCATTTTTGTTGAAGTTTTTATGAATTCCATGAAAACCTCTTTTCGGTTAATAAGCGTTTTCAGGCAAAGTATCTAAAAATTAATTTCGCTTGTAAATCCTCAAAAGCGGCAATATCCCAGCGTAAACAAAATAAAAGGCTCTAAAAGGCGAATATCCATTTTCAACCGACTTCAAAAAAAGGAGGAGGTTCTCAATTCGACCCGTATGTTTTTTTTTTTTTNTAAAATGCCTCAGCCTTTTCCAAGGCTATACCACTCAGATTCACCGTAGCGTACTCCAAGGCTCTATAATGGGACCGTCATTGTTCCTCTTATGTCATTTCTGCACGTGTCTCCTTAGGCCTCAGCCTCGAATTTAGCGGGCAGCGGCGCGGGAGCGGCGGCGGCGCGGGAGCGGGGCGGGCAACGCAGACCCGTTCTCGAAACAAGCGGGCAGCTCGCGCGGCGCTTTAGCGGCGAAGTGTTGTATTGTCGAGATATTTGTTTTAATTCGCAAACGAAATGTCTGAACAAAGGCGACAATTTTTTTCGATTCAAATTTATTCCTAGCGCTCGATTTATTGTGGGCAAAAGAAGGAGTGCGCAGCCCGCTCGTTGCCCGCTCCCGCGCCGCTGTTTTCGAGAACCGTTCTATTTGATTTTACGCATAAGATCCTGCCGCTCCCGCGCCGCTACCGCCGCCGCCCCGCTGCCCGCTAAATTCGAGGCTGAGGCCTTAGCGTTATTGTTTTTACCTAAATGATCTTATTTTTGCTTTAAACTATAGTTATTCTAACACTAAAATATTTCACTGCAAAACGAGGTGTACTCCAAGGTTCTATAATGGGACCATCATTGTTCCTCCTATGACACTTCTGCACTGTTTCCTTAGAGTGGTTGTTTTTACCTAAATTCTTGCTATAAATATAGCTAGTGTAATACTAAAATATTCCACGAAGCGTAACGAAGGTCATAATTGCAACACTAATTAGGATCCCAGAGTGTAATTGTCATAATTAGTGCATTCGTTTGATTAACACGCTTGCCGTCGTGTCGATTAACAAGGATATGCTGATTGCACTTTGCAAGGATAACATAACTGTGCTAACGGTTAGCAGTTAACTAATATTATCAAAGACTGAGTTGCACCATCTACGTAAAATTGTCGATAACCGGTGCTTTGTGTATGAATTTTGACAGATTTTTGACGTTTGTCAAAGTTAAAGATGGTGCAACCCTGCCTAAGAATGTTCTCCAGGTAAGTATTGGTGATTAACGTGCAGAAAATAAATAAACCTTGTGACTTTAACCAGTACATTAATAAACAAAGTCATTTTTAATAAGAGCTCTTCAATGTTTTTTACATTCACTAAAATTATTTAAAATTTACTTTACTCTGTCAATATTGACTCTATCAACTTTGTATTTTTAATGAAAACAAATTTTCATTATCAAAATGTTTATTTATTACTCG